AAGTGCCGGACGGAAAAGAACAAGCATAATTTAAAACATTGACAGTTCGTGTCGTCAATTCCCATGCTCGAGTTAACAATCTACCCATCCACTCGCAATTTTCTGGCGCAACTCAACCGGCGTAGTGACGCGAGGGCCCTCTCGGGCGGACGATTGATGATTTTGATGGTGGTGGTGCCGATCACGAGGGCGGCGACAACGACGATATTGATTACGATGGTAGTGATGAAGAGGAAGATGATGGTGGTGGTGATGATCATGGTGATGATGGTGGCGATGCTGATGATGACCAGGGTGATGATCATGATTGTGGTGGTGGTGGTGAAATTGATGACGATGACGATTATGAAGATAATTCAGATGATGATGCTGATGATGATGGTGACGGTGATGATGATTCGATGGAAATGCTGTTGTTGCTGCTGGATATGATGTTGATGATGATGGCTCGAATGATGAGGACGATAGTGGTGATGATGTTGGTGTTGTTGATGATGATAATGATGCTGACGGAGAAGGTGATGGTGATGAAGGCGCTTCATAGCGCTGGTGCTTATGAGGGCGATGAGGAAGTTCGCTCGGATAAGTTCACACTTCTGGACACAATCTGTGATGATAAACCACTCGGTTTTCATATGCCGTGGAATGCTTTTGTGCAGAAGTGCTCAGGACATTCTGATTTTGGACGGATTTAGTCGTTGGCGCGCGTGTGGCCATCATGGCAATATTAGACAGAGGTGGCGGGTGCGCGATGATTGCCAAATGTTTACGACCCGCGCGCGTGTGTTCCAGATGGTCACAGTCGACATGACGGCAAACCACCTCTTGCTTCTCTGTCGTTGAAAGATTTCAGCGTCTGCTGAACAAGAAAATCCAACACTGTCTTGGCTCCCTTGTGAGCACACATGTATGTCCTGATACGGCAATATCACAACGTTGTTGAATGGTTAAGGATCTGAACGACACGCTCTTGTTGGATCGTCACGTGTGCACCGCATGGTATTGTTTAGCAAGGATCAAGGATGGGGAGACGCGTCGGCATGACGTGGTTGGTGCAACTATCTTGTACTACGAACTTGTACAGCGCAATACGCGGAGGCCAGGCGATTAATCCGGTCCCCGGCACGGACATATGCTCTCATTCTGTTCAGGTGCAGGAGCGTAAGCGAATTGCTGCCATGTGGTGCCACATATGGAGTACAACTTATGTGGTGCAACATGTGTTTGGTGCAGCCAAGGTGGTTCAAAATGTGCGGTGCATGTGGTGCAATATGTGTGTAATTCAATCCTGCGTGGACGCCCGCCGGTGGCAAGTCCAGGAACGACAGCCAGGGCACGTGTGCGCCTCCGAGGTGCCCACTGGCGCCCACTGGCTGAACTTCGGAAATGCCAACGAGCGCACGTGGGCTCCCACGAGGCGCCCACGGTGCTCACCAGCCGAATGTCCGGAACAACCAGCCAGCGCACGTGGGCGCCCGGGGCGACCACGGGCGCCACTCGCAGTATAAACTGGCCGCGCCAGCCGATTCCTCGGCAAGCGACTGAGGCCCACGCTCTCTGTGCAAGGTCTGCTTGGGTAACTAAGTCTCGTTAGAAGGCAGCAGGGCTTCCAATAAGTCTTCTGTTTTTTTGAAGACCCCCCCGTTCTTCCTCGCCCCACCCGTGCGCGCGCCGCCAAGATGAGGTTCTCTCTGCCGCCTCCGGAGCCCCTGGGCAGCGTGTGCGCGCGTCACAAACAAGGCCCTCGCACCCGTCGGAAGAGGCCAGAGGTGCCGTGCAGGCCTTTTCGGCGCAGCGAGTGCGCGTGAGGAACGATCGACGTCCAATCCGAGTGTGGGTTCGAGAGCTTCTTTGCAGAGGCAGACCAAACAATCGCCAGAGTCAGCGTAAGGTGCCGTTGCTCTAGAGTCACCAGAGGGGTTAGTCTCTTCCTGCGGCCCTGGGGTGAACGTGGGACGTCAAGACAGACATTCTTTTACAAGCCAGGGTGGGTTCAATTACCCAGGGAAGAGACCGTCGGCTCAGTATTGATTATGAGCTAGAGGAATTCAGTATCACGTGCAACCGCAAACATTGCAACAGTACAGGAGGTCCAGCGAGACGCGAGGGCATGGATAGAGTGAGGAGGGTCGCAACGCAAGTGGGGAGTGGGGGAGGGGTGGGGGAGAGGGAGGGTCTGGGGGAAGGGCGGGCTTGAGGAGGAGATGGGACTGGGTATTGTGAGAGTGGGTGGAGGAGGAGGTGAGGAGGGGTAGGAGGTCCAACTCAACGGTACAAAGCATTGAGAAGACAAAGCATGCGAACATTCAAGTGTCACTGCATTGTTGCCAGGAGCTCTCCAGCCGCCTCCCTCCCCAGGGTCTCCCTCTGCTTCTCCTTCCCCCTCCCCCCGCCATATATTCCATCCCCCATCCCTCCTCTTGCCTCGCCTTCCGCTTCACCCCTCCTTCCCGCCCGCACCCCGTGCCCCTCCTCCCGCTCGTCCCGCCTCTCGCCCCGCAGCCCCCGCCCCCCCCCGCGTGGCCGGGCCCGCCGGCGGGGGGCGAATGAGCGGCAGCGGCTGCGCCGCCGCCGTGCTCCCCGAGGCCCGCCAGGGGGCGGCGGCCCCTGCCCGGTGCCGTGCGGCCGAGCTCCTGGTGCTGGCGCGTGCTCAGCATGCCGACGCCAGAGGGCTCGGGGGTGGACAGAACCCCCCGCTGACACGCCGATGACTGAACTGTCCGTTTTCGGTTCTCGAGAGGGCGCCGCGGCCGTCATTTTGCAGGCTTGCGCCCGCCAGGTTTGAGCCCGAGGTCGTTTTCGCTAAACCGCGTTTTACAAGTGGGGGTTCTGTCCATCCCCGAAGGGCCCACCGCATGTCTGGGCACGCAGGGGGGGAACACCTCTCTGGGAGCAGCTCCCAGTCGTTGGCCAGAGTGCACGGGGTTGACGGGTGAAATTCCTAAGTTTTTCTGGGCGCGGCCCTTGTCCGACTCGGACCCAGCTGGCAGCGCCGCTGGCGGAGGAACGCCACAGCGGAGAATAGAGAGGAACCGGGGAGGGAAGCGAAGAGTCTTTCGCATTGTAAGGCGACCCCGAACACGTAAAGCAGATGTTTGTTCCAAGCTGCGAGGGTAGAGTCATGCGTTGGTACTCAACTCGTGTTGTCAAACTTGTAATGCTTCTCTTGTGCCACGCGTCATGCGTCTCTGTCTAGTTGTTTTGTTTATGTTCGTTATTGGGATTACCCACGCTCGGGTGTATCTGGCTGAAAGCTAGTGCAGTTCTTTTGCGGCGCCAGAGACACTCTCGGTTGTTCGAGCACCGTTTAAATCAGATACCGGACAACAACAAACATACTGACATTGATATACACGCAAACTTTCACCAACATAATGTGTTCTGCTTGTTCAGGCCAACTCGCACGCCCTTAATCAGCCACATCACCAATTCTTGCATGCAAGGTCACCGCCCTCGCATTTCGAAGGGTTCCCTAAACTTGAAGCCCTGAGGTTCTTCTGAGCACGAGCCTACGGATGAGTCCGGAACTTCATTTGCACACATCGTGGCGATGCTTATAATACACATGCCGACGTTTAACTACAGCCTGTGCGCTTGACTTGGCCGAGCATATTTTGAGTATGCGCGGCCAACCCCAAGGGGTGTCCCTGGAACGCAGAGAGGATCTACGTGTGACTTTCGCTTGGGGGCGAGCACGCCGCCTATCCAGCCTGGAGGAGTGATGGAAGAGCAACGTTCAAGAGGAGAGATCTCAATGGCCCTTCGTTGTACCGTGATCTGTTTCCCCGCCATGCTGCTCCATGCGGCATCGGTGTTCGTGTGAGCGTAAAGAGACTTTCTGACCGATGTTCGTCGAGCTGCTGATCTCGAGGCACTCAGGCGGCAGTATTTGGACTTGTTGACATATATTCCCCCCCGCCCGAGAGATGGATAGGCCAGGCCAACTGGCGTGCGGATATCGAGACCACAGACGCTCTCAACCTCCATCCCAGAACCTCGGAGGCAGAGAGGCAGCAGTTTAAGAGTTCTATCGAGAGTCTCGACAGGGTGGCGCGACTGACGGCTGCGGTCCCGCCTTGTTTCCTAAGGGTGCAGCACCAGCGTCCTCCCAAGCGTGAGCAGCCGCGCAAGGTGATTGCGAAACCAACAGACTGGCATGAGTGGGAGCCCTGGTGGTGGGGAGCTCGCTGTGGGATGTCAGGGGCTTCCAGAACGGTTGTGCTCTACTTTGGCGGAGGCCCCGGCTAATGGCCATAAGTTTGCGAACACACATGTATTAGATGAGGATTTGCATTGTTTTGCATGGTGCGGTGTAGCTACACCCTGGAGAAGATAAGGCAGCTGGCGACACTTCGTCGGCCAGAAGTGCATAGCGGTGATGTCAACGCGCTGTCACAACTCAAACGAGGCTGACACCCTTTGCGCGACGCGCGCGTCTCCTGTGCGGCACAGGAAGTCCCTGTATCGGGGCCTGAGGTGCGTGCGTATGCCACCGCGTCGATGAGGCAGCAACTGGCTGCCCGCGCCGCCCCACTGAAGTACCTTGCTGCCATCAGGTCCCGAATAGCCGAGAAGGAAAGACAGAGGGGATAGTAGTGCGGCTTGTGAAATTGGTTCTGCCGATGGTGCCCTCCCCCCCCCAAAACCATGGGGATCACTGGGCCGCCGAGTGGTGAGCGTTTTTTTCTCTCTGGCGTAACGCTCGTTCCCCGCGCCTGCCCCTCCCCCCCCGGGGTAACGCTAACGATCGTGCCGTGGCGGAACGGGGGCCTGCCCCTCCCCCCCCTACATGCTGAGAGCGACCCCCCGCAGGTATTGTGCTGTGCTCACAGGCATGGCGTGGTCTGAACGGCACGCACCGGTGCTCACAAACGTGTTGTGGCGCTCGCAGTCGTCGTCGTCGTCGTCGTCGTCGTCGTCGTCGTCGTCGTCGTCGTCGTCGTCGTCGTCGTCGTCGTCCGTCGACGTCGTCGTCGTCGTCGTCGTCGTCGTCCAATGCAGCTGGCGATGGCCCAGCCACCGCAGGCTGGTTCGACCACTGTTCCGCAAGTGCAACATGCGGTGGCTCTCTCTATCTGTCTCTTCTGGCCGGTGCTCGGTCCTAGTGCGATACATTCAACGCGCCTAATAAGGACGCGCGCCTACTCCAGGGTACCCTTGTGTCTTTGCCTCTGCGTCCTGTCCTTTGCCGCTTTCATTGGCCAGCTTTTGCAACACAAATCCAACTTCGGCTTCCAAGGGTCGTGCGTCCATACCACCCGTCCTTGATGCACGTGTTTATTGTGGACCCAGCGCCATGGAGAAGATGAAGACTGGGCGGCCCCGCGCCTCCTCCCGCGGGCGCTGTGGTGTGCGCAGGTGCTGTGGTTCACGCGTGCAGCGTGGTGCACAGCGACGCTGCGTTGCACACGGCTGTTGCGGTGTACGCAGGTGCTGTGGTGTACGCAAGCGTTGCGGTGCACGCATGCACTGTGGTGTACACCGACGCACACAGACGTTGTGGTGTACGCAGGCATTGTGGTGAAAGCGTGCAGATGTTTTTTGTGGAATCGAGGGGCGCCCCAATTTCCAGAAGGATTCTTTTATCAAGCAATTGTGGAATTCAGAGGCGCTCCTTTTTCCATATCGATTCCCACTCAAATTCTATTTAAGAGTGGTTTTGTGGAATCCAGAGGCGCTCCATTTTCAATGGGGGGTTCTATAATAGTTCTATTATGAATACTTGTTCTTTTTCAACGTGGTGCTGCAGTGCACGCGGTTGTTGTGGTGTACGGAAGCACTGTGATGTGTACACAGGTGGCCCTGTGTTGCACGCAGGCATTGGGCATTGTCGTGTGCACAGGCGATTGATGCGTCGTTGGCGCGGACGCACCTTGGCGGGCGCACGCCGCGGCCGACGTTACCATTACCTTCCCGCTCTCCCCCCCATCCCCCCCCGTAACGGCTGTTACCCTTGACAAAAAAAAAAACGGTCACGTGAAGCTCTCGGGCCGTCGTAGGCCGGTAATGGGCCGTCTTGAAAGGGCCGTCGTCAGCGTGTGTCGGGCCGTTTCGGGGTTGTCAGTTGTGTGGCCATGTGTCGTTTTGAGCCTTTGAAGGCTTCCTGACAGGAGGGATGCGTTTACCTCCCTGAGTCCTCGATAGCTTCTGAGTGGCCTTCTGACGGCCTCTTCGGGTTTGCTGTGGACCTGCTCGATGAACTCTGGCCTTCTTGGGGTGCACCGATGCCGTCTCAGAGGTCTCGGGACCGTCACGAAGAGTCGTCTAGCCGTCTGAAGGAGTTACAAGGCCAGTCGTAAGTTGGACATGGGGCTGTTCTACCGTGCATTTCGGCTGTCGTGGTGCCTAACGATTTGCTCATGGCTCGCTGCCTCTCTTACCTCTCCTCTATGAGTCTTTCACTGTTCCTTGCTGTTATCATCGCCCAGGGCTGGGTGGCATGTCAAGATGCTGAGGGCAGGCTCTATTACGCCAACAATGCCACAGGCATCCGTGACTGGGTGGGGTATTGCATCGCCACGTTCTGGAGGCCAGTCTGTGTTTTCTCTGCCATTGTTGATGTGGGTTTGGGACTGGCTTTGTCAATTCAGTTTTGCTTGTCGGAGACATTATGGAGAGTATGCTCCTCCAATATTTTGCAGCCGAGCGCGAAGCCATGATCTAAAAACCAACCCCTCTCACCCAGCGTAGGGAAGAGAAGTACTGGGGCCCCAATTGGTAAAACCATTTCCGAGATTTCGCCAGTGGCGACGTGGGTGTAGCTGATGCGGCTTACGCCATTCTGCCGACCCCCCAAAGGGGTAACTAATTCTGAGGGACGGCTGTGTGCGTGCGGATTTGGGAGGAGTGGAACCTTCCTGTTGATGTGTATCCCTTTTTGTGCCGCTCGACACTTACCTCGAACGTTAGAGGGGTGACGACTGTATGCTCAGGAATAAGAGAGCCCACGCCGGCGGAGGTGTCTTTACCCTTTTTCGCCTTCTTCCTCTATGCCTTCTTTCTCTCCCCCCTCTTTGCTTCAGGACAGGCAGCGGACACCCACATGCATTTAGAATCGAGTCGAGTCGAGGAGGAGGAGGAGCAGGAGGAGGAGGAGGAGGAGGAGGGGGAAACGGAAGAAAAAGAGGGGGCTGAGGTGGCTTAGGATAAAGAAGATGGAGACTCGTGGGGCCCTCTGGGAGCTTCGTGTGGGCCTCTCGGGGGCCTCTTGGAAGCCTTCTTGGACCTCTTTGGGGGCCTTTTTGGGCTTCTTGGGTGCCTCTTTGGCCGTCTTAGGGCGTTCCTGGTCCGTCTGACGCCATCGGGAGCCGTCTTGGATGCCTATCTGAACTGACTTGGGGTCCTCTTGGGGCGCCCTCAGGGCCGTCTTGGGGGCGATCTTGGGCGTCTTGGAGGCCTCTTGGGCCATCATCAGGCCCTCTTGGGGTCGTCTTTGCACTTCTTGGGCCGTCCTGGGGTCATCTTGAAGGCTTCTTGGGCGGACTTGGAGGCATCTTGGACCCTCTTTGGCCGTCTAGGAGCCCATTTTGGACCATCTCGGGCGAACTTGGAGGCCATCGTGGCTGTCTTGGAGGCCATCTTGAGTTATCTTGGACCCATCTGGAACGGACAAATCCTTGCCAACCACCTCCTGGCAAGCATTCCGGGTGGCCGGCGCAATGAGCCGAAACCCCAGGGGGAGTCTTTAAATCAACCAAGAACCATCAAGCGATTAGCACGCCGGGCACTTTCGTGACAAATCAACAGGGGGCGGCGGATGCTTGGCAGCAGCCTGGCAGCCCGGCCCCCCTGTGATAATCAGCACGCCGGGCACCCCTGTGATCTCCGCGGCTGCCCAGCAGCAGCCTGGCAGGCGCTGCTGCCCCTTTCCCTCCTCCCTCCCTCCCCTCGTCCTCCTTCCCCCTCGTGCCGGCCTCGTCTCACGTTTTTTTCATTGCACTGCGAGGGGCTCATTTGCTTGGGTCAGGGGCGCTCGCCTGCAAGCATTTGAGTTTTCAGGCCCGACGGCGGCATCGGTGCCGCCGTGTGGAAGCTCTCCTCGAGCTGCCGCCGTGTGTTCGACCCCGCCCTTTGAACGACGACAGCTCGTCTGCCTCCTGCTCTCCTTCCCCTTCCCCTCCTCGCGAGGATCGGGTGCACCTTCTGGGCCCGCGGTGGCTGTTCAGGGGCCGTTTGGTGACCTAGATACTTGCGCGACGGGTGCGGATTTACGTGAAGAAGTGGCATGTGCTCGTCAGCTTGAGAGCTCATTGTCCAAGGGCGCAACCAGCCGCCCAAGCCATTACTTGGCTATTGGAGGGGCAGCTGTCAGATGACCCCCCCCCAAACAAACAAATAATAATAGTGGCCTTCGACCAAACTCGCCACTTTGCCTGGGCTGTGGTTCGCGAGCCTCTTGGAAGAATATGAGGAGGGTCTCTTGGCATGCCTGTCAAGGGCTCTCCGAGGGCTCTTGGGTGCATTTCTGAAGCTTTTAAGGGCCTCTTTGGGGCCGCTGGGGTGCTTCTTGGGGGCAATGGGGCCTCTTAGAGGCACCTCGGGGTCCTCCGGTGGGCTCTTGGGGCTATCTCGGGGGAAAGGCTTGAAATATCAGATCGTATTCCCATCTTTTGCTCCTCTTGGGACCCTCTTTGGGGGCCGTCGTGGGGGCCCCTGGGCCGTCTCAGGGCCCTCTTGGGCCGTCTTGGGGCCCTCTTGGGGGTTCATCGGCCGTTTTTGTGACGATCTTCTGGGTTCGTTGGGCAGTCTTAGAAGCCGTGCTTTCAAAAAATGCGAGTGTGCTAAACATGTTTTCCTAACGGAATGAGACGATATCGGGGCCTTCTCGGTGGTCCTCTTGGAACACTTTTGGTTCTAAAGCGCGCTGAGGGACATAAGGAGCAGAAGCGAGCGTGTGCCCGCGGCCGCGTCGGCCCAAGCGGCCGGCCGCCCAAATATGATTGTGTTTCACCGTGCGGCACACGAATGCTATCGAGACCAAAAGGACCATCTTATTTCTTAAGATGGCACATCCTCTCCTACTGGGACTATCGTTACTACGGTACAACAGAGCAGGAGCTTGGCTTCGCCTAAGGCGAAGCTGCTGGCGGGGCCTCCCAGCCCCCTTCAAACTTGGTAGCGGAACTGGCCTATGGTGGTCAGCTCTTGCTCTACTCCTCACCATCCACGGCACTATCTGGAGAACTAAATACATGGTGGAACATCAGGGTGCAGTGGGTTTGCGCGGAGGAATGTATATAACTACGCATGATCGCAATGACACTTGCAGCGATACCTCTGCTTACGCGGAGGTTTCCCACTTACGTCCTACATCCCTGCGCTGTTACACTCCTGAAGTCCACCCACCTATTCCAATTCGAAGTTTTATTCGAAAACACAATGCATGGAAATATGCGATACGACGCAGCGCCGCCTCCATCCCCACGCAGACTCACGACTACACAACGGAAGCTCCAACCGACTACATCCGACCACGACTTACGGGGCCGTTGGATTTGTGTTACTATATTTGGACTCGCGTGGGTCGCTATCGGGTGTGCGGTAGGACAAATGCGTGGTGGAGGCGACACAAGAACGACCGGCCCTCACTGGGGCCCAGCCGGTCAAGTACGTTTTCGCGAATTCGCCCGCGAGGTGCATGCCTGGATCAACGTTACCATAGGCAACATGACGCCCGCCCAGCAAGCTTCAGCCTTGCCTCGAGGTCTGGGAGGTCTCGCGCGGACCATAGCCATGAGAGACCCCCCAGCAGTCATCAACTTTGGCGTTCACATAGGTGGTCGCCATGCCGACGGCGTCACCTACATCACGTTCCTCTTCAGCACGACGTTCGAGAACCTAGGAGAGAAGAGCCAACACAACTCTTGTACAGCTCTCATCGACTTCCGAGTCCATGCGGGGGAACGCATCCACCAGGCGTTAGCACGCTTCGATATAGCCCGCTATGAAGCTGAATCGGCAGGCTTCAACATCCCCAACTTCCAAATCCTAGCAGTGATATTATTTTAGAGCTCTTGGAGTGGGGGCATCGCGTGCGCAACAACTCCTGCAGCCTCTAAATACCACATGTCGAGAGACCAGCAACAGTTTGATGCTCCACTCGAACGTATGAGGTCATATGCTCACATTGCCGAGCGAAGCCCTGGTAATGTCGGTGGTATTGTCAGTCACGGTCTCCGAACCGAGACCTTTCAAGTGGAGGCTAACGCAGGACAGCCTGCTCACAACGTCTGGAATGATCCACATCCAACTGAGACCACTGCTCTGTTGGCTCAGAATGGTGGAACGGCCTCGGGGTCGCAAGACTCCTGGACCAGGCTTCGGGGGCCGCCCGACGCGGTATCCCCCGCGCAAACCATGGCCCTAACGGCTCAGCGGGGCAACCTGCCGAGTCCGATTTCGACCCCGGTATTGAGACCGATGCGTCTTCGGACGATGGAGCCACAGCCCACGACTATTCGGATACACCGCACTCACATCTATACCCCTGGGTGGGTGTATGTGCGGCCGTTTTTGCGCTGTCATGTGCGCGCATGTGCGCGGCATGTGCCAGTCATGTGCCAGGCCTGTGCGGTCTTTCTTGGATGGACTTCCTACTGTGCACGTCGTGCCCGGGCATGTGCGGGGGCATGTGCGCTGTGTTTTGATGTATCCATCATACGCACATGCACGCACAGTCCGACGCACATGCGCGCACATGCCTGCACATGCGGGAGGTGTTCGAGAATCGCAGATCTGTCATCGGCACATGCACGCACATGCCTGTGCAACCTCTCTTCGGGAGGCCGCGCGGGCCCGCACATGCACGCACATGCGGTGAAGCGCGCGGGCGCACATGCGTGCACATCCCAATGCACATGCACGCTCATGCCCTAGGAGCTGTCTGGGACCCCTGTGCCTCCAATGCCTCCTGGCCTTCGCAGAGCTAACCTGGGGCGTGCCAGGGCTTCCTGAAAGAGTTTGTTGTGCGTTTAGACTCGCCCGCTGCTGGCGGGGGCGGTTCTTCGCCCGGTTCGTGAGCTGGCGGTGGCGCGCCCGCCTAATAAAATACTCTCCCGCGCGCCTTCTCAGCTCGGCCGGAGAAGCAGGGATGGGGGGGGGGGAGGTGGAAGGGGGGGGAGGAGGGGGGGGCGGAGGAGGCGGGCGCCCCCGGCTCGGCCGGCCCGCCTGCCTGTTCGGCTCGGCCAGAGGAGAACGAGGAGGAGGAGGAGGAGGAGGAGGAGGAGGAGGAGGAGGAAGAGGAGGAAGAGGAGGAGGAGGAGGAGGAGGAGGAAGAGGAGGAGGAGGTGCAAGTTGCAAGGATGTCTCGGGCGAAAGTGGCTTGACGGCCCGAGCTTAGGGAATCTCGGAATCGCTGGCCTGGCTCGGCCACCGGCGAGCTCGGCCTGTGCGAATACTGTGCGTACCTGTGCGGGGCATGTGCGGGACGTGCAAGAATGCCGGGGCCAGCGTTCGTCTCCGGACGCCGGCGCGTTCGCGTCCGGCCGGTTCCGCGTGAGACGTCGTCGGCAATCTGGAGGCCGACGTGCT